CATAAGTTTCTAGATGACGTCAAAATTCTTGATTTCAAACAAGAATAATTTGTTTGATTCCCTATTGCTGCTCTACCATAAACCCGAGGACCATGATCTGAGCAATTAACCATCTGCACTTTTTCTAGATACGTTTTCACATGAATTTCTTCTTTTCTGGTCTACTAGTTATTAAGAAGAAGACTTTTTGAAAAGATTATTAAAGAATTGACCTGTATACTTCAATGTAACAGAAATGAATTCACTATTGTGATCCTCCCCTATTCCGGGGAAAAAGATTTAAATACTTTAAAATCTACAATACCTTATCAGGCGCGCAGCCAGCATAGAAATGAAGCGTACGCAGAAAACCGTCGAGGTCTGTGGGCCGCCTTTAGGCTTCAAGTGGGTCGAGGGCGAACCCCACAGAAGCTCCTGGATTTTACGAAATTTTTCAGTCATTTTGCTGCAAAAGAAATCACGCTACATCTCTTTTCTCCAGCAAATACGTAACTTTAGTTAATGCCTGCATGGACATGCCCGATCGAGCCCAAGGCAATACTTCACAAAAATGTACTTATGATAAATCTGTAAATTAAATTCAGTATGTGCAACCTCTGCGAAGAAAATGAATGGAAATCGTTGGTGGACGACAGACAACAACAAAGCAATTTTCTCTCCATTCTTCGAAATGGGACATAAATTTGGCCCATGCAGTTGTTCTTGGTAAGATTTATAGAGACACCGAAGAAAGGATGATCAGAAAACTTAACCGGGGCTTTGAGCTCATGCGAGCCAAATAATTTGTATTTCTCTATATACCAAAAAAATAAGTACTGAAATTTTTTTTTTAATTTATTTGGCCTTTTAGAGATTTTTTTGATTTTCATATATACCAAAATAATTTTAATAAATTAACTCCCTTTCGAGAATAATATTTCACTCATAAGGAGATGCCACCACTTGCCGGTGGAGAGCTGCAAATTTTATCCTACACTCGGCACCCAGGGCCATTGAGCAGGGAGGATCTCTTTCGTGCCAGCACCTACTGCAACACGGGATCTCGGTTTATACGGTCTCATCCGAAGAACCGGTCTTCGAATCCTTACAAGAACGCATTCTGCGTAATAACTCAATTTTACTGCTTGATGTATAGTGGTTAAGAATTTTTTTGGAAAGATTTTGGTAACATTTCATTTTTTTAGCCTTACCCCTCTGGGCCCAATGAGGCGAATACCGTGACCATTACATTTTGTTCCTTTTATTTAACGACAACAGAAGTGGTTGAAGCTGATTCGACGGTTCCCGAGAAGAAACTGTAACATGGAGATAACGAACAGTTTCCAAGCTCAAAAGTCCATTAAACAATTCAAAATAGGTGCAGAGCAAACACCGATCTCCAAAACATCAGAAATGGGATCAAGTGCTATGGAGGAATGAGCATTCCCTTCCGCCCTGTCACACTCGCCGTGTGCACTTTGTCATGATCGGGAAATAGCGGAATAATCCTTCTACAAATTAGTATGAAAATAATGGCCCAACAATATTAAGTAAAACTATGAAAAACACCAGTCAGCATTTGACTAAGTAAAGGAGAAAGTCCGAAAACTGTCCATTCTGTGAGAGAAAGAACTGTTCGAGGCCCGAAGGGCCGAGAATAGTTTTTTTCTCTCTTAAAACATTTTCTCTATTGTTAACTTAATAAACTGTCCCAAGTGATGGTTATGTATTTGCTATGATTATGTAACACACTTGATTGTCCAGGGAGTGGGGGGTGAAGACAATAGTTGTATTGTTTAACTTAATGGACAGTGCCAGGTAAATTTAGATTTAAATGATAGCTCACTTGATTTCTAACCAGTTCCCATGTAAAGCTTCATGAGTGAAGATGTCCTCATCGGATGGAGAAAGTAATACATATTTCTCCAAAATACGGGCCAAAGGGTGGTAATTACTCTACAGTACGTAAACACAAGCAGAAGCTTGTAGGTTTGCAGATTCTGAAGTTGACAAAAACTATCGCAAATCTTTGTAAACAATCTGGATTTAAGGGACACTATGATACGAAACATTCTTTGAGAACAACAGCGGAGACCCCTTGTATGAAGTTTGAGGAACAGTTTATAACAGAAAAAAAGGGCCACAAATCTATTACAGTTTGATCCTACAATTGAACCAACAATAAATAGCTGCAGAGAGTAAATGAAATATTTCATGGAAATATGAGGGATTCAGATGATGGCAAGTGTATGAAAAGATAAAATTTGCGATTTCTGTCCCAAAATTGATTCCACCTGCAGTGCATCTAGTGAGATTATGATTTCATCTGGAAATAAGCCTTTTTCTTTTCAAATTTAAATTGCTGTTTGATATATTTGAAACATTCATGGAATGGATCTACCACGTCCAGCATTTATTTATTTACAAATGTTGTGAAGAGGATGAGACGTTTGTTTTTTATTTTTTAATAAAGAAACTTCTGGATGTGGATGTTCTAAAATTATTATGCATCAGGATTTACACGTGTCTTTTTTGCATTGGATTTGTCATTTCCAAAGATGATATACAGTTGAACATTTCTTATACAATTGTTTGATATTTATGCATGATTTTGCATTAAATGAAAATTTTAATTGCCTATTTTAATTACTAATGAAGTTCAGAAAATATTTTGCATTTTAAGTATTGTTTTCAATATTTAAAACATGTACATTAAGTTAACTTTAATTGTGCATTAAGTTGACAAAACGCTGTCGATTAAGTTGAGAATTGAGGGTTTTGTCAACTTAATGTACGGTTACAGGTGACTTAATGTACAGGTTTTAAATATCCAAATCTATTATGCCATGTTACTTACTAAAAACACAAAGGATTACATAACAAACATGTTTTAACAGCATTTCACACAAAAATATGTTAAAAATCTTATTTCATCTTAAAGTTATTAAAAAATTTTGAATGGGTTTGATCGACACATCCTTGCACTCTCACAAATTTTACTTTTATTCTTAAAATAAGTGAAAAATTAATGAAAAATATTAAAACTTTAATCCAGAAAAAAAAATTATATGCATAGTAGAAATGTTAGAAAGCAAAACCCCTTCACAAATATCGTCATTCCGCGCTTAGTGTTGTGTACAGAGTTTAGCAAATTGATCACACTCGTGAAACGTACAGTTTTTTGTAAACAGGGCACGAGCTCTGTTATTGTTGATGTTTACGATTTACCGGGTGTGTTCAGTTGTTAAAGTCTGCTCACCACAACTGCACGGACTGACAATATACTGTGTGTATTTTTTTGCTTTCGAACATTTCTACTCTGAATTTTCTGGATTATAGTTCTAATATTTTTTATTTATACACAGGATTGCCACTTTTCCTAAGAATATAATTAAAATTTGTGAAAGTGCAAGGATGTGTCAATCAAACCTGTCAAAAAATTGGAAGTTTTAATAACTTTTCGTTGAAATAAGATTTTTAATATATTTTTTGTGTGAAAGCTATTAATATATATAAGTTGTAATATTATACGGAAAATATTAACTTCAAATCTGTGTCCATGCACCTTTAAACGAGACTGCTGATGTTTCATCAACTTGTTTGTCAATAATTTATCTTGTTTAGAAATTGTACATAGAGCATGCTCTTGCGTATCGAATCAGCTGAGATTTATAAACTCCGTATGCAGGTGATGAAGGTATATTGCAGTATAAGTAAAGGAAATTGACGATTGAAAAGTTAAAGTCATGTTCATCATAAAGCTTGGTTGTTAGATAACCATTAATTAACGTCTTTTTTCAAGTAATATTATACAATTATTGCTGGGTTTTTTTTAGGTCAATACAATGATTTAGCCATCTGAGGAGTACAATATTGTACTTCGAAGATGGCTACAATGTAAATCATTGTGTTGACTGAAAAAACAGCAATAATTGTTTTATTATATGATTCACTGATAAAATGATTCAGCTCATTACCGGTACTTGTTTGCATTTAATTAAGTCCTAGCCAAATACAGGAGAGAAGCAGAATTAAGATGTAAATAAACCTTAACAGTCGTATCAATTTGAAATAGTTTTTTGTCAATTTTAGTTGCCATGAAAAAATTATATAATGTTATTTTGAAAAGGAAAGAGTATTATCAGGGAAAAACTGATCAATTTGGAATTTCCCGATCTATTTTTAGATCAATGTAGAGAAAATAAATCCTTGTATTCACCTGGAATGCCACGTGCAGGTCAAAAATTATTTTTCTAACATAGCTATTTTAGAGAAATTTATTCAATCATATAATAAATCCAAATAGTAAATAGATCAGACTCTGTGGTATCTTTTATCTCAGGCTCACGGGGATATATCGCATCGACATAAGAATGGAAATGACCATTAAATGTTAAAAAGTTTATGACCGGTACAAAACAGACGGCAAAATTAGTACTTTAATAAGATTTCATTCACTTGTACTGATTCAGACACCAGAATACATAAAGGAATACGATTTTTAGGTAAAATTTTGAAATAAATATTTGTTTTTTTTTACGAATATTTTTATTATGACTATAATTAATAAGCACTATAAGTTTGGCAAGTTTCAATTACACTGTAAAAAGTAATATTGCTTTAATGTAGCATTTTTTCAGTTACTATTAAGTATACATGTATGTGACTGACTATCCTAAAATATTTAAAATTTTCATTCTTCTGCAATTTAATCTGTTTTGGTAGTCTACGAGAAGTGTTTACCATTTGTGTCTCTTTTTTGCATTATAGGGTATCATCAAACATCAATTGGGAAGGCATTAAATGCTCTGCGTCTGGTAATAATCGAATTATCCTTAATTGCTTACTGCATGCAGCGGTTATTGCAAATAGCGACCGCCCTCTTTACGGGGGAGATGTCAAATGCTTGTTCCGGGGAAAGTGTTCGATTGATTGACAATAGCCCTCCACTATTGGCGCTATGGGTCGTATTGATCCCTATTTGCCCTCCCACTTGGAAGTTCCGATATAAATCGAAAGCCATCGACACTGAAGTGAAACTTTTTAATATTAACATTGTTGAATTTTTTAATTCTATTACACCATTTCGTTGGAGTAAACTTATCAGTGACCATCTACAGTCTGCATTTTAGTTAAACACAAGAGGATTCAGAGGTAAGAATGTCTTATGTTTTCAACAACAAAACGAAAACATAGTAAGTTTTTTCAACAAAAAATTAATGTATCGGAGAGTTTTTGAAGACAATTTTTGGGACAAAAACATTGATTAAGTTACGTAAACAAAACAGAATGAAATTTTATTTCATTTTACGTATGTTTTGTTTCTGTAATTTGACTTTCGAAAATCAGTTAAAGGAGACCAAAATGTTATCATGATCATAGGACACTCGTGTTTTCCACCAATTTAGATGAAACCAAAAGTCATCAATCGTGCTAATGGGTTGCTAACAACCATCTTTATGACATGGAACACTTTTAAAACCATTATTTATGTGTATAGAATCTCAATTCTGATTTTGTTCTCTGCTGTGCGTTGTCTGAAAATATAATGCATCAAAGCATCTGAATCTGAATTTTCAAGAATAACTATTTCCAACAACAAAATATATCCATGCAAATCTGAAATATGATGATAAAGAAGGAAATAGAAATTTAGCAGACGGATAGCCTGAAAAATCCCTTAAATACTCTACCAAATACATTGCCATAACAAGAAATCATTAAAACAACTTCTTGAAGCATTAGTTGAAAAATAATCATAGCTTTCATATTATGAGAAAAACAAATCTAGCTTTCACCGGAGAGGAGAGATTTAAGCAAAAAAAAAAAAAAAAAAAAATGGAAGATTTCAATAATTGTTCACTAACCACTATAGGTCTCTAGATATTCATTTCCCCTTGTCGTATCTCTAATTGTGAAAAATATTGTCTTCGTTATACGGTGTCCAAGTCGTCTGGAGACCCTTGAAGCACTTTTACTTCTGTGAAATGCCACTTGTCAAACAGTCTTTGCAGAAACGATTACTGGATTTAAAGACAACGATTCACTTAAGGTGCTGTACGCCTTATCATTTGCTTGGTTTAGCTACAGTAAACTAACATTTTCTATAAGGTGAGATAATTTTTTGAATTGGGAAAAAAGACCAAAAATGTCTGTATCAAGTATCTACATAAGAAAGTTTTCTTTTTAGATGTATGCCCAATCTATGGAATAATATTTTCACACTCTACAATATTTTTAAATCATGTAACCATGAACCCTATTGAATGAAAAAAATGAAGCAGGTAGAATTTGAAAAATGATGTTATATTTAATTTGTCAGAGTTTATGAACGCATTTTTTAAAAATTTGTCAGGGTTTATGAACGCAGTCTTTTCAGAGAAAAAAAATCTACATACATATTTTCTTGAGAATTTTTATGAAATATTGAGACTTTTAGGGGGCAGATCCATATATTCAAAGAAAATGTGCTTAAAGTGTTCTTTTTTACATCAGAAAAGAAACTCGGTAATAGTTTACAAAACTTTAATAACCTTGCACTGGATGCTTCTTCCCTACCCATCATAATCCGACATCAAATAATTTTTTCGACAAACAGAAATATATTCTGTACTATGTGGTTAGTTGAATTTTAATAAAATGAAAGTATTTGAAGAAGTTTTTTCCAAAAGGTTGTTTTCAAATTAGGTATCTAACATTTAAAAATGTAGTCTAAGACAGCATTTCTTCGACCTTGACGTGATATTTTGTTAATTTAACGTCTAACCATCTTCATTTCCAAATTAGTTATGTTTGTTGAACACAAATTGACCAATTCGTCATATAAATCTCTTTGCGAGAGAGAAAAATGAAAAAGAAAATTAATGTCAACATGAAATTTGGGAGAAATATGAAGTATCAGGCTTTCTTTGAAATAATATTTGCTTACCCTCTTCCAGCTCAGGGTAAAATTATTGGGTCGGTCGGTAGGTAGGAAAAACTTTTTTCCATCAAATGTCATCATGTTTGACGGGATAAGAGAAATATATAGAATATATATATATAATTTTATCGTTTCTTACATGTACACAGTAAAAAAAAGTTTTGAGTCAGGCCATTTTAATCAGTCGGTCGGGAGAGGAAACCAAACATTTTTTTTTAAAGAATGGCCTCAGTCAGTTGGTCAAATACCTTGAGAGACGTAAATGAATAAAGATGGTATGAATATCGAATATCACTACCGCCTGTTAATCGACTTTTAAATGACATTATCCCTATTTAAAAAAAAAAAGATTCTTCACGCTGCTTGAGATAAATATTTTAATTAAAGATTTAAGAGAATCTATCTCTTTTCCCTCAGGGTTCTGAATTATGTTTAAAAAATGTTAAATTTAACACTTTTTTGTAAACTGCATAGATCCAAACATGTTATCTTTCTTGGTCATATCAAACGATTTTCAAGAAAAGCTTTTTTAAAAAAGAATTGGGAAATCTTGAATGATGTTGAAGAACCGACTTTTCTTGTATAGAAAGTTTTAACAGAAGACTCGGATCGCGAAAGCTCATAAATAGCTTAACGCAAGTTTAGCAGGATCAATGACATAAGAATCATAGGATTAATTATAGATTAATGAAAGATTCTCTTGTACGATGTTGCACTGTTGGGAACTTCGGGAATAGTTCCTCTAATTCAATTATCTGCTGACAGCTAATTTTTATCAATTAAATTGGTCGAAATCAGAGTAGTTGGTCAACCAAATGAATTGTCAATCAGATCATAAATTTATGTTTTTTACATCACATGACTATTTTTTTTCCTTTTTCACTATAAAAGCATGGAGGATTGGAAGGCTAAAATTAAGATTGATTCAAAGTTTCCATAATCTTTTAGACTAGACGTAAAATCGACACCACACTAAGACGGATGTGATAAATTAGATCAATTTTTCCACGAGCGTTGAAATGATTATGTATCGAGAGTTAAGATTTGTTCACATCCAGGCCCGACATTTATCTCATCAACTAATTATTGTATCATGTTTGGCAACGTATTAAAATTTAATATGGAGAGATTATATAACCAACATTTGACCCTCTACACAAGGGTATTAAATTTATGTAATTCCGTTTCCAATAAAATGTAGGAAGTTTCAAATTTCTCGTGTACTGTGTCGTCAAAGCGATTAAACGAGTCCTTTCCAAAGAAAGAAAAACTACCTTCTGATGCACACGTAAAGAGGACAATCCAGTATACTAATTAATCCAACACTTGTTATGTTAGGTTTATGTAATGAGGTATTCTTTGGGCATAGACAACAGTATCTCGAGCTTCTTTTTTAATACTAGAAATTCCATTCCCTGTAACACATTTAAATATACGTATATCTTAACATGCTTTTTAAGAGGATATTTGTTATAGCATGTTTGTTTTCACGCTTCAGATACTAACCATATTTAGACTAAATGCAACGTCAAATCCAATCATAGCTAGCTAAATTGAACATGAATATAAAGAGTTATGTTGAGGCTGTAAAACCGGAGGAGACTATTGGTTTCCTCATCGTCCGTCAGTCTGTCTCATTTGATTTTCTTAAACTCTTTTTAAACGGCTGCTGATATTGAGGTGATTTTTTGACGATTTTAATTTTTTTTTTCATTTTTAGGAGGGTTCTAGTCTTTCCACTTGGTTTTCTGTATTTTTTCCATAAACATTTGCAGATATTGAGCTGAATGTTGGAAAGGAATTTCATTAAAAATAAAGTTATTGGTCATGTTTCATTTTGTTTTGCTTCAAAGATTTTTTTATTGATTTTATTTAACTGATTAAACGTTTCTTATTTGATAAAATTTGAAGTATATGTAATTTTATCTGATATCTATATTGTGGACTATATTAAATATTATATGGAGAAAACTTGTCAAAAAATTGAAGAATATTTGAAAAAAAAACAATTATGCGAATTTGAGTTGCGTTTTCTTAACAGTCATGCATACCTTTGTAGAAAATTTGACGTAAAAACTGGGGGGGAAAAAGTGGTTCAAATTTCTCTCTTGATATCAGCTATCACTCTTCTGTACAAACTGAATTAGGGAACCTTTCTTTAAAGCTCTATTTAACTCAACAGTGGACCAGAGATTCAAAATTAAAATATTATCCTTGATTATGAAAACTGTTATCTTAGATTATTGTATCATTTAATACATTATTTTTTTCTCGTCTTGATTACTAACGTAACGGTAATCAAAATCCATTGTGTGCGAGTATATTTAAACAGGTCAATGACTGATCAGAAGTCTATTGGAAACATTGTCCAAGTGTATAATCATTATGAAATTAATTCATAAATACACGCGAGGCTTCTGACATCATCGACAGCTTCTTTTTCGATAAAAGAAATTGGAACTCGTAAAGAGTTTACTTACCTTGTCATGGGTCATTTGCAAAATTACTTTGTTAAAAAATTCTTGATTTTTTTTTTTTGCACGTTTCTTTTTGCTTTTTGGAGACCAGGTCTTCCAACAATCTATGTTGGTTATAACGGTTATCTAACAACAAATCTTTATGATAAACGTGGCAACTTCCTTTTCATTCGTCAATTTCCCTTACTTATGCAGCGATATAATACCCTTGTCACCTCCTTACGGAGTTTATATCTCTCGGTTGATTCGAAACAGAAGAGCATGTTCCTCATATGCTGACTGACGTTTTTCATACTAATTGTTAGTCCATTATTTATACTCTGAATTGACGAAGGATTTTTCCGTCATTTCCCGATCATGACAAGGAGCACACGGAGGGTGTGACCGGTCAGCAAGGGATGCTCACTCGTGGCACCTGATCCCACCTCTGATATTTTAGATGTCCGTGTTTGCTCTGCTCCTATTTTGTATTGTTTTATGGTCTTTGATATTGAATACTGTTCATTATCTCCATATCCTTCATGCACACTTTATAAAACGAGGTAAGTTATTGACAAACAAGTTGATGAATCAAAAATTTCAGCAGTCTCGTTTAAAGTCACAATTTCTTAAGTTTTATAGTCGATACAACGAACTTGTCAGCAAATACAAATTACATGTATCATATAAGTCAAATGCTGACCGACTTTTTCATACTGATTGTTAAGCCATTATTTACACATTTTCCATTTCATCACCAATAATTTTTTACTGTT